TGGGGGCAGGACCTGCACTCACCCTTGTTGTACTTCATGAGGTTCCCCTCCATTCAACTCTCTCCAGCCTGTCCAGGTCTCACTGAATGACAGCAGAGCCTTTTCAGCTGACTTCTCCAGCAGGGTTTGGACAGGATTTAGAGGGTGAATAAAAACTGTTGGGAAACACATGGTCTTTGCTTCCCCACCTCAATCACACACCAGATGTCTTGTGTGAACCTGTCGAGCTGCAGCTTATGTTCGACGTTGTCACCCACGGGTGTCCCGTTGTCCCTGACCTGGGTGCAAATGAGCTTCAGTTTGGCTTTCTAGCCCAGTTTCAGGGTGTGAAACGCCTTCTGCTCCACCTGGGTGGATGTTCTTCCCCCTGGTTTTTCCCAAACTGTGAGACAGGGACCAACCCTCCTTCCTTTGACCTCCCTGGCTCAACCAAAACCACGTTCCGAGGTCCCTGCCGCTTTGGCTCCCTGCCTTGCTGTGTGGAGATGGAAATCAGCACGTGAGCCTCACAGCCATAGCTTCTTTTGCTTGGAAAACACCCAACCCTCTCTTTTTTAATTATGTTTTTTTTCAGCACAGCTCCACTTCTTTTTTTTTTCCCAGCTTCCCATTCCTTCATCTTGGGGAATTTGTGTTTTCTGCTGCGTAATGCGCCGGGTTGGCAGCAGCTCCCGTGTCACAGCGTTGGGGGTTCAGCCTTTTCTCTGTCATAACATTGACTCTGAGAGGGATTTCTGACGTGGGAAAACACGCCGAGCAGCTGCTCAGTTTCACTCTGAGTTTTGTTTTGGCGTGGTTTCTCCCAGAGATTGACAGCCCCGTGGATTTCCTGAGGCTGCCGTATCGGGGGGAACCCGACAAAAGCAGAGTAATGCTGTTGAATGTCATTTCTCTGAGTGTGAATGAGTTGTCATGGCAAGCTTTTCATCTCCACTAGTCTATTCCCATGGCTGCCAGGATGGGAAAACCCTGGGTTTAGCTGGGGAAGAGAGAATAGTTTGCATCCCTGGAAGCTTCAACAGCTTGGTTTGTTCCTCATAGTTCCTAATTTCAATCCCTTCTGGATGTATTTTCTTTGCTATCGAAAGTTTGGTAAAAATAATCTACTATACCCTTAAATATGAGTATGTTGGGCAAAAAGTCCTGTCATGTCTTCCCTCCTGAGGAGCAGGTTTGCTTCCTGGGCTCAGCACAGGTGGGATTTGTCCTGTGGAATGCAATGAGCCTCATCCCACCACCCCGGGGGGTTTGGGAGCTGGGGCTGCCTGGGCAGCATCGGGAGAAACTCGGCGCTGAGCGACACCAGAGCTCAGAGCTTGCCCTGGCTGGGGTCTATGGTGCAACCCAGGGAAGGATAAAAAGGGAATCTGGGATTGCTGGTTTTGGGAAAGAAGGTCCTCGTGCCATCATCCTGCTGGGTTTGAGGACACAGGGTGCAGGATCCATCCTGCAGTGAGGAGCAGGGGTTTGTCCCACTGGCCAAACCGGCCCGAGCCGCTCGTTAGGCTGGATTTATTTCGTGGTGTATTTCTGTCATCAGCACGTTACCTTATACTTGAGATGTCCTGGATAGCTGCAGAGAAGGATTCACTATTCTAACCTTTCACCAGCAATAAATCCTGGGGGGCTGTTTCCTCACCTCCACCCGCTCAGACCCGGGGGCAGGTATTTAACAAAGACACCGACCTTTGCTGCGCCCTCCGCCGCTGGCAGATGAATTTTTTGATGCTCTTCATTATCTTTTTGACCTCCCTGTGTTTTCTTTGCTCCCCCCCTGGCAGCCGTGAAGTGGAATGCCATGGCCAGCTCCTCAGACAGTGATGATGATGGGTTCATGGCCGTGGATCCCGAAGACGCCGCGGCCGAAGGGCTGATGGAACAGGACGACGAGCCCCACGCCGAGCTGGAGCTGGAGGAGACCAGGCACAACAGATCCATGGTGGAGCTCCCAGAAGAGGTTTTGGAATATATTCTCTCCTTCCTTTCGCCTTATCAGGAGCACAAAACTGCTGCCCTTGTCTGCAAACAGTGGTATCGACTCATCAAAGGTACAAGTGGCTGGCAGGAGAGCGTGTCGGGTTCGTTGTGGGAGCCTGGCTTTGGGTCCCAGCTGCTCTTGGCTTTGTTTTGCTGGTGCTTTCCCCTCCAACTGGAGAAATTCAGCTTCCTCAAAGCACCAAAAAACAGCTCCAGCCCTTGGGCTGCTCGCTGTGCTCAAGGCAGTGCCAATAGTGGGGCAGGATTGAGCCCCTCGGCCTGTTTTGTAGTTTCAAAGAGTGAAACTCCCCCAAACCTCCCCCTGACAGAGCCTCTCATGCTGCTTTTGAACTCTCCCCTTGCACCATTGACCTTCTCTCCCCCACCCAGCAGCCCCCATTGGTGTCATCCTGTGTCTAACTTGGCTGTAATTACACTTCATTTGCCTCTTGCCTGGTAATGAGCCCTCCCAAAGCTGGAAGCAAAGCCCTGCGTGGCTCCTACAGCTCTGCTGAAGATAAGCAGGATATAAAATCTACATTAAACCACATCTACATATTCAGACTTCCTGAAAGAGTAGCCCTGAGATACAGATACTTCCCTCTGCCTCTGCAGCATTCATTGCAAAGCCTTATGGGGATATTTTAATGCTGGGTAGATCCCATACAACAAATAGGTGGGTCAAATTTGGCTGAGGATACAAGCCAAGCAACCTGCTTCAGTGTTTTTTTTGGATGATTTCTGTTCCATTTCTGTCAGGGGTGGAGGGTTTGGTTACAAGCTTTGTTAAAAACCAAGCAGCTGAAGGGGAGACCACAGGTAAATCAGTAGGAAATGAGGCACGCTGCTGCACGAGGGGAACTTGTTCCTCCTGGAGAACGTGGAGAGGGTGTCAGGGGAGAAATGCCTTTGGCAGACACGTGGGGTGATGTCTCATTTGTGGACTTGTGCACGTGTGGAAGCCTTGCTCAGATTCCAGGAGTTTGCTGCCTTGCCTAGAATTCAACAGGCTGGAGATTGAAAAAAAAAAACCAAAAACCACAACTCCTTCAGCAGTGACCACTGCCCAGAATTACTCTTTTTGGATAATTTTGGGCCAGCAGCAGCCCATGGGCCTGTTGGAAGGTTGGGGTTTTATTTCCAAGTGTCCCTGGGGTCACTGCTGGGCTGCACTTTCTCACACATGCTTGTTCCTGAAAGAGCCCCAAGAGATGCAAAGGATGCAGCTGGAATGCCCAAACACCTGGTGATTCACCCCAAAAGAGACTGTGGGAAACATCCCTGGAGTGGAGGGGGAGGGAGGAGCAGCCTGAGGCTGGGGTGAGCTGTCCAAGTCTCACAGCTCAGGGGGATGAGTGGTGCTGGGCAGCAGTGCCATTTTTGTGGCAATTCCAGCCAAAATAAAAAGAGCAGTTCAGTTGCCAGCCTGCAGGCCTGAGGCAGAGGTCACTCGAGGTAAACACTGCATTTGTTTTCTTCGGGGGAATTTTTCCTGTTTCTCAGGATACATCTGCCCTGAGATCCTATAGTTGAGATCACATTCCCCACAGGACTCTCAGGGAGCAGCTGCTGGAGGACCCTGGGCTTTTTAGTGCTCATTTTTAAACAACAAAACTTAAACCTTCCTGCTTTCTATCCCAGAGTGTGATTTCTTGCTGGGGGTGTTCCTGGCACGGGGCTTTCAGGAAGCAAATCCTGAAGGGAAATAAAACTCTTGGCAGGTTGTGGCATCCTCAGTGTGAGAGCTGTGGTGGGTGCCACCAACCATCTGCTGAGCTCCTGCAGTCCTCAATCTTCTCCAGAACGTTTTCTGTCCACGGGGAGCAGCATCTGGCCCCTCTCAGCACAAACAGGGGCACGTGTGCTCCATACACAGAGTTAGTGGCAGCTCTGGGGCTGGGTTGCTCCACGGAGGAGCTGTTCTCAGCCAGAGCTGCTCCTCAGCGTGGCCAGGGAGGAATATTTGAGGGGAGACCTGCTGGTTCTTGACAGCTCCTTGACAAGAGGCTGGAGCCAGCTGGGGGTCGGGCTCTTCTCCCAAGAAACAAGCAACAGGACAAGAGGAAACAGCCTCAAGTTGCCCCAGGGGAGGTTGAGATTGGACACAAGAAGAGGAAACAGCCTCAAGAGGGTTGCCCAGGGCTGTGCCAGGCTGCCCAGGGCAGTGGTGGAGTCCCCACCCCTGGAGGGGTTTCCAAGCCGTGGAGATGTGGTGTGAGGGACACGGGGCAGTGGGGACCTGGCAGTGCTGGGGGAACCCTTGGACTCAATGATCTTGAAGGTCTTTGCCAACCAGAGCAATCCTGTCATTCTGTTTTCCCCTAAGACACATTAACTTTATCACTGATATCTCCTCTCATATTTTGGATTCCTGTGCAGCACCCTCTTAAAAGCGCATGACAGCCCATTGTTTATCCTGTAACATGCACTGAGGGAAGGGCAGCAGCTGCTCTGGGCTGTGCTGAGGGGACAACAAGCTGATGTCACAGCAGAGAAAGCTGAAAACCAGCTCTGTGAAGCCATCTCCCCTGCTTTACCTTTCCCAGAGGCTTCAAATTCCCAAGCTGAAGCAGACAGGTATCAGAAATGTCATGAATCAGTTCAGGGAACTCTGCTGGTTTCCCACATTTACAGACTCTGGTCCTTATTCCCTTTAATCCTCCCACTTCCCACCGGCCTGTTGACAGCCTGAGCTCAGGGGTTCTGTGTGACTGCTGGCAGGCTGCTTGTGCAGCTCTGCAGGCACGCTGTGTTCCCAACCTCCCCCAAATTTGGCTGACGTTGTCTTTTTTCCCCCTAGGTGTGGCCCATCAGTGTTATCATGGCTTTATCAAAGCAGTGCAAGAGGGAAACATCCAGTGGGAGAGCCGCACTTACCCCTACCCCGGCACCCCCATCACCCAGCGCTTCTCACACAGTAAGTACCTGCTGGGGACACCTCTGACCACCCCCGGGGGCAGTTTTGGGGGCCCCTCACTCCAACAAGGACCTTGAGGGGCTGGAGCGTGGCCAGAGAAGGGCAACGAAGCTGCTGGGGAAGGGTCCAGAGCCCAAGTGTGGGGAGGAGCAGCTGAGGGAGCTGGGGGTGCTGAGCCTGGAGCAAAGGAGGCTCAGGGGAGACCTTCTGGCTCTGCACAGCTCCTGACAGGGGCCTGGAGCCAGGGGGGGATCGGGCTGTGGTCCCAAGGCACAAGGAACAAGGGACAGGGCAAGAGGCAACAGCCTCAAGTTGCCCCAGGGGAGGTTGAGGTTGGAGCTGAGGAGAAATGTCTTCCCCTGGAGGGTTGCCCAGGGCTGTGCCAGGCTGCCCAGGGCAGTGGTGGAGTCCCCATCCCTGGAGGGGTTTCCAAGCTGTGGAGATGTGGTGTGAGGGACACGGGGCAGTGGGGACCTGGCAGGGATGGGGGAACAGTTGGACTCAATGGTCTTGAAGTTCTCTTCCAGCCAACCCAATTCTCTGATTAAAAGATCCGAGGGCTGGAGCAGCTCTGCTGGGAGGACAGGCTGAGGGAGTTGGGGCTGTTCAGCCTGGAGAAGAGAAGGCTCCAGGGGGATGTTATAGGGACCTTCCAGTACCTGAAAGGGGCTGTAAGAAACCAGGGGGTGTCTCTTCACAAGGGTTTGTAGTGACAGGACAAGGGGTGATGGTTTTAAGCTAGAAAAGGGTAGGTTTAGGTTAGACATTAGGAAAAAGTTGTTTAATGTGAGGGTGGTGGATCCCTGTGCCACACGTGCCTGGCTGGAACATGCAGCTCTGCCAACACAAGCCCTTCTCACCAGAATTCAGTGCCTGCTTGTCGTGGCTATTGGCTCATTCCTCCTAGGAAATGATAACAGAGCTGGGGTGGGATTTTTGGCTCTCTGGGTTTGCAGCTTTTACACACAAGCTGCTTTCCAAACCTCCCCTTCGACTCTCAGCTGAGTTTCCCCTTCAGTGGAAACCTCACTTGGTGGTGACTTGACTCTCGTGGCTACCAAAGCCCCTGAGTCTGTTCCCACCACACTCAGGGCCGTGTGCTGGTGCCTTTTCCAGCAGATCCCCTCCTCCATCTGTGAGTTTGGAGCAGGCTGAGCCTGGCTCACTTCAAAATAAACCCCAGAGCTGCACGGGAGAATTAAGCAATGCTTAATGTAGGGGTGAATTTTTACCCTGCTTCCCATTTCTGGAAGAAAACAGGAAAAAAAAACATTCCCATTGAGGCAAAGATGCTTCAATAAAACTTGTTTTGTGTGCTGCAGGAGCATCCAGCTGCCTCAGCCAGACAACACACTCAGCTATGACAAATATTCAGTCCTTGTGGCTTCCTCACTGGGTCAGGCAGTCCTCCCAGGGAGCAAATTTCATCTTTTTCAAAAGTAAACAAACACGGTGTAAAGGCTGCCCTGCCAAGAGCAGCCCAGGCAGGAAATTTTCACCTTCCCAAGCCATGATTTATGAAGCAACCAATGCACAACCTCCTGCCAGGACAAGTCCAGGAGAGGCTGCAGGAAGCTCTGGTGAAGTCATTGTGCTCCTCAAAGGTTTCCTCGTCCTCCTAAAGAAAGAAACAGTCACCACCCCTCCTAGCTCATGTTTAAGGGACTGGGAAGTGAAGGACTGGGAAG